TCAGGGCTAACGTTCCTCACGAAAAAAAGATACAATAACCATATGTCAACAATTTTGAACACTAAGATGAAAGAGACAAACTCCTAGGAAAATATAACTCACTAGAACTAACCCAAGAAGAAATGAAAAGCTTGAAGTCCTATATAACTTTTAAAGAAATTGAAGCAGCAATTAAGCATCTTCCAACAAAGAAAATACAAGGCCCAGATGGTTTTATAGGTAGTTACCAAACTTTCAAAGAACAGATTATCCCAATTTTATGTAAAAGGGAAAGAAGAAATACTTCCCAACTCATCTACAAGGCTGGTATAACCCAGATACCAAAACCAAAGATATTATAAGAAAAAAATGAGGGGCCAGCCCAGTGGCGCAGTGGTTAAGTGCGCGTGCTCTGCTGTGGCGGCCCGGGGTTCGCTGGTTTGGATCCCGGGCATGCACTGATGCACTGCTTGTCAAGCCATGCTGTGGCGGCATCCCATATAAAGTAGAGGAAGATGGGCGTGGATGTTAGCCCAATGCCAATCTTCCTCAGCAAAAAAGAGGAGGATTGGCATCCCATGTTAGCTCAGTGCTGATCTTCCTCACAAAAAAAAGAAAAGAAAACAATGACAGTCACATTTTACTCCTGAAAATAGATGCCAAATTCATAAATAAAATATAAGCAAATAGTGTATAAAAATTATAATACTCCATGTCCAAGTTGGATTTGTCCCAGGTATGCAAAGATAGTTTAATGTTAGGAAATTCATAAATATAATTCAACATATTAACAGATTAAAAGGGAAAAAAATGACTTCAATAGATGCATAAAAAGAAGAGGATAAAATTCAACACCTATTCAAAATAACATGTCTTAGTAAGTTAGGAATAGAAGGAAATTTTCTTAACCTTGTAAAGAATAAAAGTAAATAAAAGAATAAAATAAAAAATATAAAAAGAATAAAAAAATGTAAAGATAAAAAAAGAATAAAAGATAAAATAAAAACCTAGACCAAACATTATCCTAGATGGATAAGTAGTATAAGCATTCCTATAAACTGGACAAGTATGCCCACTGTCACCATTTGTTTTCAACCATGTATTGGAAGTCTCACCCAGTGCAATAAAACAACTGGCATTATTTGGAGAAGATATGATTTTTTACATAGGAAAAACAAGAAACAAAAGGTCTGCCTACAAATTATTAGAAAAAATAGAAGAGTTTAGCAAGGGGGTTGATAAAAGATTAATATACAAAACTCTGTATTTTATACACCAGCAGCAAAGAGTAGACAGACAAAGAGAGGTCACTATTTATGACAGAAAGTTTCAAATATCTAGGAATAAATCTATTGATGTACAAGATCTATACAGGGGAAATTATAAAACATGGAGAGGTATACCATGTTCATGAATAGGAAGATTCAATAATATAAATAAATTCTGTTCAGATTCACCTATAGATTCAAGTAATTCCCATATCAAAATCCCAACAGAGTTGTTCATAAAATGTTTAAACATAACTTTAAAATTTCAATAAAAATAAAGGTCCAGAAATGGCCAGAACTCTTCTGAACAAGAAAAAACAGGCCAAAGGAGACCTTTTTTTACCAGATATCAGAATGTATTGTGAAGCTCTAGTAATAAAGCAATGTGGTACAGGAACAGACAGACAACTTGACCAGAAGAGTAGACATAAGAGCCCAGAAACAGCCCTGCTCACTTTTAACTTTGGTTATATAACAGAGGTAGCATGTCAGATCAATGGGGAATAAAGGGAGCTAAAAAAATGTTATTCACATGCAGAAAGGATGAAACGTGATTCCTGTTTCAAACCACATACAAAAATCAACTCCAGATGGATTAAGGACTTACATGTCAAAACAAAATGTTAAAATATTTATTAGAAAATGCACATGAATATCTTGTAGACCATAGGTGTGGGAAGAGATTTCTTAAGACACAAAAAGAACTGTCAATAAAAGAAAAGATTGATGTAGCTGACCATGCTAAAATTAAAAACTTTGATTCATCAGAAAATATGTAAAGGAAGTGAAAGGACAAGTTATAAACTGGATGAACATATTCACAACATAGCTGACAAAGGATTAGTATCAAGAATATATATATGGGGCTGGCCTGGTGGCGCAAGCGGTTAAGTGTGTGCACTGTGCTGTGGCGGCCCAGGGTTCGCCAGTTCAGATTCCAGGTGCGCACCGATGCACCGCTTGGCAAGCCATGCTGTGGCAGCATCCCATGTAAAGTAGAGGAAGATGGGCATGGATGTTAGCCCAGGGCCAGTCTTCCTCAGCAGCAAAAAAAGAGGAGGATTGGCAGATGTTAGCTCAGGGCTGATCTTCCTCACACACACACAAAAAATATATATATAAAAAAATATATGTGTATATGTACAAATGCACATATATACATACACACATACATATACATAGACACAAAAAACTCCCACAAATAAATAAGAAAAGCAGTAGTAACTCAATCAAAAAATGGGCAAAAGAGGGGCCAGCCCGATGGCGTAGTGGTTAAGTTTGTGTGCTCTGCTTCAGCAGCCCGGGATTCGTGGGTTTAGATCCCAGGTGCAGACCTACACACCACTTATCAAGCCATGCTGTGGCAGGCGTCCCACATATAAAATAGAGGAAGATGGGCACAGATGTTAGCTCAGGGCCAATCTTCCTCAGCAAAAAGAGGAGGATTGGCAACGGATCTTAGCTCAGGGCTAATTTCACAGAAGAGGAAACACATGGCCAATAAACATGAAGAGATGTTTCACATAATTTGAAATCAGGGAATGGCATATCAAGATCATTTGCTGATTCGAGGGAACACCATTTTACACCCCACTTGATTGGCAGAAATGAACAGTTGTTGATGAGGATGTAGACCTACAGAATCTCTTATACACTGCTGGTAGGGTGCTAACTTGTGAACTACTGTGGAAAACAGAAGTCATTATCTCTTAAAATGGAGGATGAACGCAGACTCTATGATTAGCAATTCCACTCTTAGGTATATTCTTAAGAAAAACTCTTGTACATGCTCAACAGAGACTTATACAAATTGTTCATAGCAGCCCTGTTCATAATAGCAAAAGACATGGAACAAGCCCAAAGCACATCAACAGGAATGGATGAATAAACTTGTATATTTATACAATGGGATATTATAAAGCATTCAAAACAAATGAACTTCAGTGACAAGCAATATGGATGATCCTTAGTAACAACTAGAATAAATAACATGGGATTCAGAGTGATGGTTACCTGGGGTAAGGGAGGCAAGCAGATAGGACTGGGGGCAAACCATATGGATAAAGGCAGGTTATTGTCAAGGTCCTAACTTTTATTTGGGATGATGGCCTCTTGGATGCTTATGACATTAATAAAAGTAACTGATTAACTGATCAACTAAAAGAGGGTGACACAAGGACAGATGATGAGTCTTTCAGGAACCAAGGATTACACAATCTAACTATGGGCACTTCAAATAAGACAAAGAAAGAAACAAAACTCAGGACGATGCTCCACTGGCTTGTTTGTCTTCACTTAACACAACACACTCCCTTCCTCCTCACAGGACTAATTCCCCTCATCCTCCCAGACTCAGCTCTCCTCAGACTCACCATCCACACGAAGCATCCACTGCTTGTCCCATGCTCTTCTCCGCCCTTCTGCCTGGAGCCCCTTGTGCAGTTATAGAGCTGCGAATGCACTACTTCCATTAACCCCTTCTCCACGCCAATGCGAGCAGGTGTCTATGAGTCTCCCTTCCCCTGTGGCGAACGTGTCCAGGGCAGAGGCTCTGTCTATGTGTCACCTGGGCATATAATGATGGTTTGCTGAAAACACCAGCCCTCACCCTTAATGACCTTCTCTGCCAAATCTCAACCATCTTGCCAAATCCTGACATGTTTCAGTCCCCACTTCAAATTTGCTCTTTTTTCTTTTTGTGAGGAAGATTAGCCCTGAGCTAACATCTGTTGCCAATCCTCCTCTTTTTGCTGAGGAAGATTGGCCCTGGGCTAACATCTGTGCCCATCTTCCTCTATTTTATATGTGGGACGCCTGTCACAGCATGGCTTGACAAGTGGTGCGTCGGTCTGCACCCAGGATCCAAACCTGTGAACCCCGGGCTGCCGAACCGGAGTGTGTGAACTTAACCACTACGCCACAGGGCCGGCCCCTCAAACTGGCTCTTTTTTGAGAAGTCACAGTGAGTTGTTCTTCCCCTGTTCTCTGTCCCTTCCTCTTCTTCCCTGTGCCCATACCCAGATTTAGGTCTTCTCCTCTCTTGCCTGAACCAGTCTCCCTTCCTCCAGTTCTTTCTCCATACTGATTGCCAGAGATCCTTCTAGAGCGTATTTCAGATCTCATCTTTCCCCAGTTATAACCCTTCCATGGTTCCTCACTGCCCTCAGGATCAGTCCAGACTCCTTGGCTCTTTCTGATGAAGCCCCTGGTGACCACCATGCTCTCCTCACCCACCATGTGACTGCTTTCCTGGTGCCACCAAACATGCTGTGGCTTCTCCTGCAACAGAAGGATCCACTTCACTTAGGGAAAGCTCTCCACCCTGTACCCCAAGGACAGGGAGCCATGCCCTCCTCTAAGCTCCTATGGCAGTGTGAACCCTGCCCCAATACCATTCACTACCCAAACAGACCGAGTTCCTCACGCATCTTAGTCAGCTCTTTGGCTCCAGCACCTGGCACAGGGCCTGCATACAGCAGGCAGCTTCTGCTGGGATGGACAGAGGGCCTCTTGTATTCTTTCCATAGATTTTATAAGGCATGATCTCTGTGACAGCTTTTGGATTGATGCTAATTTTAAAGAGGTTTTGTGTATTTTTTCCTCTGATCTGTGGTAACCCTCCAAGGATGGCATCTTAGAAGTCTCTGTGCTGGGCACAGTGCTAGGCCTGTGGCCTCTGCTCATTAAGAAAAGGAGACTCTCTGGGACCCAGCAGAACCCATGGCACTCCCTTGCCCTGGAGCCTTCACTCACCGTGTTGAAGTACTCGACGCTGGTGGCTTCAAATGCCCTCGCCACAGCTTGGGTTGTGGCCACGCAGGCTACAGGGTGGCCATTGCCAATGGACTTGCCCATGGTGACAATGTCAGGGACAAAGTCTTCCCCCTGCAGCTGGAAGGCCCAGAAGTGCTTGCCTACTCGGCCAAAGCCCACTTGAATCTCGTCCGCGACAAAGACCCCTCCGGCCTTGTGGATGTGCCTGTGGCAGAGGACAGATGGCTGATGGGGGACTGTGGTAAGAGGGATCAGACCAGGAGCTGGGAGGTCTTGGGACTCTGAATCCTGGATCTGCCAGCAGTATGGTGGGGGCCTTAGGCAGATGGCTGGCCTTCTTGGGGCCACTATTTCTTCAGGGCTTTGTCTGAAAATCCTGGCAAACAGGCCAGGCTGAGGTTGGAATTTGGAACAAAGGTTGGAAAACCCCATTACAGCCCTGCCCTCCTTGGGGCAGCCCCTCCCACCTACTTACTCTGCCACTTCCAGGAAGTAGCCAGCAGGGGGAATGATCTGCCCTCCCACACTGGGCAGAGACTCTGCGAAGAACGCTGCAATCTGTGGATGAGACAGGACTTTGCGAACACTACTGTGGAGGTGCTGAGTGGCAAGCTCAGTGCATCCTGCTAATGTTGGTTTAAGCAGGAGGAGTTACTGACTTCGCTACGCCCCAACTTTGGGCTCCACATCACATCTGAAGTCTGTGATTCAGTTTTCTTTCAGGCCCCAAACCAACTGTCACCACCTGGATGCCTCCAGACCGCTTGTACTTAGCATGCCCCAGACAAAATCCACTGATTTCTCCCCCGTAATCCTGTTCCTTCTCTGCCCCCATCTGGTGACTCCCATCCCTCCCACCTAGGACAGAAATCTGGCCCCCATCTTTGGACCAGCCCCCTCCTTTTTCCATCAGTCAGCACAGCCTCTGACTCTACCTCTGTAACATCTCCGCATCCACTCTCCTCCACCTGGACGCTCCTGCCTCCTGGCAGATCTGCTGGTTTCTGCCTTGGCCTCCTGCAGACGCCTTCTAACTGGACGCCTCTTCCAGTCCACCCTCCACTGGCTACCAGGGTGATGCCTCAACCCGGACACTAAGCTCATCGCTGTCGTGTTTAAAACCCAATCACCCCTTCTGCTCACAGCCATGACTTCCAAACTGTGTCCTGCCTTGGAGCTGCTTCAGAGGCTCTGCAGGGATGCGGGAAAGGCTGATGGGGTGGGAAACCGGTCTCTTACCTCTGTTGCCATCAGAGCAACCTCTTTTCTGGTTTTATGTAAGGGGGTGCAGAGCCTGAAACGTACAGGCCAGGCTCCCCTGGTCTGGCTCTGCCAACCTTTCTGGCCTCGCAGCCTGCCTGACTTTGCTGTACATCCTGTGTTCAGCTGTCACTCCTTCAGTGAAGCCTTCCAGAGCCCTCAGACCAATCGCTAACCACCCCCCTCTCCTGTCACCTGAGCCACTGCCCTTCCAGGTACGACGCCTCTCTCTTGTCTCTGCACCTGCCCTGGGTCGGCCTCACAGTCTCCCCAGGTCACCTGCCCTCAGGCTGGCACCATTCACACGCATCCCCAGGTCTTATTACTCTCTTCTTAAAACCCTTCAGAGGTTCCCCGTGGCCTCTAGCCCCTCAGCACAGCACTTGTGGTCATCTGGCATATGGGTCCTGCCCGCCTCCACCTGGCCCCACACTGACATGGTTCTTCACCTCTGTGCGGGCTGCCCTCTGTGTAGGATGCCTTTCCTCCTCTACTCCCCACCCCACCTTGAGTGGCTAACTCCTGCTCAGCTTATATTACTTAAGTCAGGTAGCACCTCCTCCCAGGGCCCTCATTCACACCCACACCAGTCCGGCCTGGACCCCTGGACTCCTATAACGCCCAGGACACATCTCTGTCTAAATTCTCCGCTGAGCACGTAACCCCGCCCAGATTCCCAAAGGGCAGGCCTGGTTCCCACTTCTCTCGGGGTTCCCAGCCTCTAGCACCCGGCTGGCAACAGAGGAAGCGATGTTCACTGTTCTATTCAGTGGACCCATGCAGATGCGGTTACCTTCCTGCCCTTTTCCTGTACGCTGTTGACCACGTGTTTCACCTCACTGGCATAGGCCACAGCTGGATTGGGGTGGTCCTCCCGGTAGGGGCCCCGGTAGGTGTCTGGGAGAGGTGCCTGTGGGGAGTGATAGTGCCGTGTCACCTGGGCTGAGGGGCGAGCACCGACCTGTTGTCCACTCGGGCAGTGCATACCACATGGACCCACTCCTTCTGGCCATCCAGGTCCCGGAACTTGTAGGGACTGATGTCGATCAGGGAGCTCAGGTGACCGTGATAAGCACTGTGGGGGAGAAGGAAGGGGGCTCAGGCTCAAGGGGCACGGACTCCCCAGCCGGGGAAGACACAGGGAAGACCAACCTTTCTTTTACAGCCTCCGAGTCCCAGGGCTGGGAATGAGCACATGCCTTGGAGTCAGCAAGACTTCCTGCAAGGCTGCTGACTAGCTATGTCACAGTGGCCGGTCATTTAACCTCTCTGGGTTCAGTTCTCTCCCCTGCAAAGTGGGGGGTTTCTCCTTCAGGGTTGTAATGAATCTTTTTTTTTTTGAGGGAGATCAGCCCTGAGCTAACATCCATGCTAATCCTCCTCTTTTTGCCGAGGAAGACTGGCTCTGAGCTAACATCTATTGCCAATCCTCCTCCTTTTTTTT